CATGGGACCATAGTTTTTAACTAACAGACCATTATAGTGTTCTGACCTAACCTTCCAAATGTCAATAAATTAGATTACAATGTAAGCCATTCTAAATATCTTTGAAAAAAAGACAGATGATTGTTATGCTGTCATGAATTTACCTCTGGGAAACCTATCTTCAAAAGAATAGTCAGTTAATGCTTTTGCCTTTAGCTGGTTCTACCCTATTGTACTTTCGTTTGCTATTGACCAATAATAATATTTTCACACTCAGAACGAATACCTTGAGTGTGAAAAAGTTAAAATCAATACAATGTTGAAGCCCTCACCCATCCGGCTTTGTGATCTTTGGCACCTTTGATCCCATAGTAGATTTATACTATCAGCCTGTTTCAGCCACAGTGCGAGTACATTTCCATGCAGTTATGTTATTTAATTGTAGAGGTGACTAGCCAGTGCTGAGTGATATATTAGGCAAAGAGAACAAATGGAAACACAAGGAGCAATCGTTCTTGGGGATGTTCGTTATTGCTTCTCACCCAGAAGACAGACGAGCTGAACAGAGCTCTGACCAAGGACATCTGTCTTTTTGTTGACGATCTGGGGAGTTCTTGCTAGGCAATTTTGTTCTCACAAAGAGCTTATTCATTTAGCTCACATAACCATGAGCATTACAAAAATCTCCAAATGCCAAACCCTTAAATCAGTAGAGTCCAACACTCTGTTACATAGTTTTCTACAGGCTAAAACAGATTTGTGAATACCTGGTTGTGTGGGGTTCCCTGTCTGAGTTTCACCCATCACGGCCTTCTCAGAGACCTGGTGGGTCTCTGTTGCTGATATTTGTAATTGTGTGGCTTCCCTCCAACACTAAGTAATTTTTGGAGAGGTGGCACCTAATCCAAGTTGGGCCAATGAAATCTTCTTGGGAGTTAGAAATTTAGAACAGACAGACCCCAAGATGGAAGTTGTTTCACTCATGTCAGTGCTCTCCAGAGAAAATTGGGCGACTCTCACGTCTCAAGTCCCTAGAGCTGTTGATTCCTTCCCTTGAGGTCTTGTAGTAATTACTCAGCTCTCGTTGATATCATAATGGGATTTGGGAACAGAAGTAAACTGGCCCAGGCGATCATAGTAGAAAAACTTTGGCCATGGTCAAGCCTTGGCGTGATGTATAGTTTCCCAAGGTAACATCAATTATATGTCTAAATCTATTAATTGCTGAATGGATTGACCATAACAAATAGCATCAGTAAATTCAGTTATGCTTTCCAAAAGTTGGGGTTTTTTATTACTCACAGTTGTAGTACCCATATACATGAGACATTAGTTATTCCTTTTATAGACAATGCTTCTTTGGCTTTGAAAAACACTTTATAAAAACTCCATAACCTCAGAACTCGTGAATAAGTGGTTCAGTATAAGATTTCAATGCATGCCCTGATTTTGATATGAAGTAGTTAACTATCCAGATGATGTGAGTCTTAAAATGAGGTAAATTAAGTGAAATATGCAGACCAGTGGGTCTCAAATGATGTTCTCAAGTATTTCTAAAGCTCTTCAATGGTTCTGCAAATATTTGATTCTAGTTGCATTTTTAAATATTATAATAATTTTAAACTATAATAAGAATCATGTACACTTTAATGTGTCCTATGCCACATTTTAATTCATTCAAGACCATCATAATATTAATTTGTGATGCCAGGTTAACTTGTGCAGAGCATGGAGCACCAAATAGAGTTTCCCTGTAATTCATCATTAGGCACCTCTAGAGACCAGCCATCTATGAATGTTCCTGAACTATTTGCAAAGATGTCAATGATTATAGAGATGGTTTCTTGTCACAAGGGCTGGTGTTGTTGTTGGTCCCAATGAAGAGTATTCCATGCTTCATCATGTAAGATTTTAGAAGCAAATACCTCACTGTTTATTAGTATTTTCTCAATATGATACAAATAAAATACAACACAAAAATAAATTGGTGCTGAGGGAGATTTAAGACCGTAGTCCTCATTTTGATCCCTGCTTTCAAATATGTGTCCATTAAAATAGATATTAATGTTGGAACATTATAAGGTGATTTTATATTAACAAAACATGGCTTTTGCATATTTCATTTGTACTTTATATATTGAAGTTTGCTGTGGTTTCAATGTCCCCCCCAAGCTCATGTTGGAACCTAACCCCTAATATAGTGGTGGAATTCTGGATTGATGGTTTAATGGATTGTTATGGGTGTGGTTCTGATGGCTTTATAAGGAGAGCAAGTTAGAAAGTTAGCTCTCTTGCTCTTGCAATCCTCTCCATGTGATACCCAGCACCACCAGAGTAAACTGTAGAGAGTCATCACCAAGAAAAAGACCTCCAAAACCATAAGAAATGAATTTCATTTCTTTCTATATTACCCACTTTCAGGTACTCTGTTATGAGCAACAGAAAACAAACTTATACAAGGTTCTCTATAATGTTTCACCCAAAACCATAAGAAATGAATTTCATTTCTTTCTATATTACCCACTTTCAGGTACTCTGTTACGAGCAACAGAAAACAAACTTATACAAGGTTCTCTATAATGTTTCATTTTATTAGTTTTTACAAAGGGGACATGTTTGAAAACCACCATTACAGCAGGTTTTCTTAATCTTGGCACTACTAACATTTAGAACAGATCATTCTTGGGCAGGGCGGAGGGGAACCTGTCCTGTGCATTGTAGGGTATTTAGCAGCATCACTGGCTTCCACCCACTAGATGCCAGAATCAAACCTCCAGCCCCAGCATGACAATCAAAAATGTCTTCAGATATTGCCAAACGTCCCCTGTAAAGCAAAATCATCTCTGTGAGAAACATTAGCTAAGTCATAGGATTATAGGGCTGGCCACACTTCAGTAATTCCCGGAGAATGTTCACATTTCACTTTTTTTATTCATAAGAAGCTCTTAAAGAATATAATAGACAGATACATTTTAAAATATTTATTGTGTTTTTTATTTAGGATGTTTGAAACACTACACAGGCTATAAAAATAATGTTGCATAACTATATTTTCAGACAAAATATATTTATGATAATTGTTAAGTAAATAATCAGCCAATATGACCATGGGAGCAGGAAAGACTCTAGTTAAATCCTTTTATGTGCTAAATTCTGGAACACAAATAGTCTTCAAATTTTTGTAAAACACTTTGAAAAAAATTTTAATTAAATTTTAAAACTCCTTTTGCTCTTGCCTAATGCCCAGATAAATCTGATTAAATTGACCGATGTTCTGTCTAGGAAAGGCTTCAAAGGGAACGACCAAATGTTCATGCCTGCGAACTTTCATCTTTCATAAGGAAGGCCAAAGAAAAAATTGGAAAGGAGTAGGATTTTTCCTGATAGTACTTTAAGAAAGTGCCCGTACTTCTATTATGTTAACACAAATGACCTAATTAATAACTTAACTCCCCTTGGCAGCCTCAAAAAATGCTCTTATGTATATTTAGAACATCTTCATATATGAGAGTACCTCAAAAAGTTCATGGAAAAATTAGTATTATCTTTTAATTTCGTTTTCCACAAACTTTTTGAAGTACCTTCATATATACAGTATATATATTATATATGTATTATACATGTGGGTATATGTAAGCATATACTCTGTATATTCTATATGTATAAAACATATACAGTATACTGTAGTATAGCATATACTCCACATATACATACATATATATATCTACACATATGTACATAGAATATACACTGTACTACATTATATTCAGAACATCTTCATTTGAAAAAGTAAAAGATAGGAAACAACATAAATGCTCACCAAAGGATGATTTGAAAAATAAATTATAGTATTTCCATACAACTGAACACATTTTAGTAAAAAAATTTAAGACAATATTTGTTTATTGATATAGAACCAAATTAGAGATACATTGTTAAAATAAGCAAGGTGCATAACAACGTGTGTGGTAGGCTACTATCTAAGAGGTTTTCCCCCTGAGAAGACATAGTTGTGCTTCTATTGGCATAGTGTATTTCTAGAAAATTTCAAATGTTGTAGCTTCTGGGGATTAAGGTAGAAAGGAAACTTATTATTTAATTTGAATCTTTTGAATTCTTTAAATTATGGTTACACTCTTTGGGGGAGGACCATTTAATTTTTTTAAAAGTACTTTGTCAATTTTAAAGTGATAGCAATAGTTTGTAAGAGTGAACTAGCCAGATGAATTTCAGTTATTCTCAGACTCAACAGCCCAGGAAACCATCTCAAGCAAGAGAAAATGGAGAGAGAATGCAAGTCCTGATAGGCTTTCTAGAGTCAGGGTCCTAGGGTTTGCATAAACACATAAGCTCAACTGGAGCTGGTAAATATGGTGCCCACTCCAGTCTTAGGGCAGTGTTTCTTCCCTGGTGTCTTAGTCTGTTTTCTGTTGCTTAACACCATGAACTGGGTAATTTATAAAGAACAGAAGTTTGTTCAGCTTCTGGAGGTTATGGAGGCTGGGAAGTCCAAGAGTATGGTGGCAGCATCTAGCGATGGATTTTTGCATCGTGTTCATCAGGAATATTGGCTTGTGGTTTTCCTTTCTTGTCTTTGTCTAGCTTGAAAAGCAGGGTGGTGCTGGCCTCATAAAATGAGTTTAGGAGTGTTCCCTTTTCTATTTTTTGGAAGAGTTTAAAAGGGCTGATACCAGTTCTTGAACACTTGGTAGAATTCACTCATGAAGCCACCTGGTCCTATGCTTTTCTTTTTGATTACTGATTCAATCTACTTGTTTGTTATTGGTCTGTTCAGGCTTTCTATCCTTCTTTACCATCTTGGTAGGTTTTATGTTTCTAAGAGTTTATCCATGTCCATTTATCCACCTAGGTTATGCAATTTATTGGCATGTATGTTCATAATAGTACCTACAATCTCACAACATTTTGATATCTTGTTTCTGCCAACTGGGAAGTCTGGAAATGAAATATCACCAGTGTTATGATGTTGTTGTTTTTTCTCTCTTTCACCCTTGCAGGATCACAACCACAGCTGCATGTATGATGGATCTTCGAAGATATCCTCTGGATGAGCAAAACTGTACCCTGGAGATTGAAAGTTGTGAGTTACTTAAACAGGGGAATGAGTAAGAGGGATGCTTGCTTGACCCAGTTAAATTCAACCTTTCTCTGAGTTAATTGGTATGAGGATATTTTTAATACCTCATGAATTTTACAGTCCCCTGCCAACTTTTCAAGGGTTTCACAATCTAGTGACATTTTTCCCTTATATTGGTGGTTCAATGGTCATTTCAAAGAAGTTATCTTTTTGAACAGTTAGGGAAAATCCACTAATTTTAGCTTGGCCATTTATAAATTCATGGTTTTGCCTTTTCAGAGTGGAGTTTCTCCCAAAGAATTTCAATATCCAAGCTGTATTAATAAGAGAGGGAAAGCATTTTAATACAAAAAGACTTTGTGAGATTTTTTTCAGGTGGGGGGGTTTCTATCATTTGTCAACCTAAAGGATTGTAAATTGTTGTCTTTTAGGAAAACTCTGTGGTAGGGTCTTGTGTGAATGTTGTGTATTTCCCTATAGAAAAAAAATGATAAATGGCATTCATGGGGCTCATACTTTGAGCCAAAGACAATATTTTTCAGGTGTAATGATTGATTTTGGTTTGTCCTCTTTGGCTGATTGTTTTATTGATTGTTTTCTTAGCAAGTTGAATATTTTAGTCACTAAGACTTAATCTGATTGACTGTTTTTGTGTCACTGTTTCTCAGCCATCAACCTGCAGTCATTTGAGCCCATTAATTGTGAGTAACAGAGCTAGGTCATTTCTTGGTTTTCAGAGATGCGGAAAAGTGCAAAAGCTAATTCAGACCATTGCTATGTCACTTAATGTAATGTGAGAAATCAACAGATATTTATTTAGATCATCTAAAATGCTTTCTATATCTAAACATCAAGAAGGTAAAGAAAAATGTGGAAAATTCCAGGTGATCCTATATTATTGAAGAATAGATGTTTCTCTAATGTCTGATTACTAAGCAATTACATTAATTCTCTAATTCCATTGTATATAGACAAAGATATAGCTATATAGATTTAGACATAGACATTGATCTACTACCATTAGAACATGCAATGAACAAGAAAATTTATGAACTATTATTTAATATTCTAATTTTAAAGCTCATTATATAAAAAAGTTGATAAATATTGAAACGTGTTAATATGTGAAAGTATTGATGATGACTTTGGATTTAAATGCCAAAGATGACTAAATTCAAAAACCACAGGAATGAATTACAAACCCAATCATTTATTAATGGTTAATAATGTTTTATAAATAATGCAGAACCTTAGTTCAGCAAGTGAACCATTACTTTTGAACTGTTATAGAAAGAGAAGGATAACTCATGGATTGTTCATACATATAAGTTGCTTTTTACTCTTGATCTCTCTTCTATTGACTTTGTAATTTTATTCCTTAGCTTCTGCTTGAAAGCTTTAGGATATGACAACCTCTTGAAATTCCAAGATCTAATGGCTTACATCATTCACTTAAAGTAACAATAAATTTTGACAAGTATTTGAACTGATTCTGGTTGTAAATTTCAAGTGCTGAAATAATTCAGCATCTTTTCCCAAAATGCATATTTGGTTTTATAATGCATACTGAGTTTTCCTACTATTAGAGGTTGACATTTTTCTCTAAATTGGCAAGCTTCTTTATTCATATTAGAAAACAGATGACTTTTGGATCCATTTATCATATTGTAAAATGATCAAAAAAGAAACTAAAAATGAAACAGAAACTAAATGTAACTTTTGTAGACCAGACATGAGGGAAGATCAAACAGCAGATAGTCCAAAGTAATCATAAAATATGGTATGAGACAGCAGGTGGTAACCCAGGCATATGCAACCATTGAGGCAATTCAATAAGATGCAACCAGTTATCTGAACAGATGGATGGGCATAGTAACTGGGAATCTAAAGCCAACTAATATCTGAGAATGCAGGCAGACAGTAACCATCACTAAAGTGATCCAGCTGCAGGTCCCAGAACTCCAGTCCCTAAAGATACTTACCTAAAACAATGCAGAAACTCATGTCTGCAATAGTTTGTGTAATGAGAAGTCTTTTAATGCAGGAACTTGGGAGAAAGGGAAAAAAGGTGGAACTGCCTTCTATTTGCCAAACTAAAGCTAGGTACTGTATAATTAAAGATACTTACCTAAAACAATGCAGAAACTCATGTCTGCAATAGTTTGTGTAATGAGAAGCCTTTTAATGCAGGAACTTGGGAGAAAGGGAAAAAAGGTGGAACTGCCTTCTATTTGCCAAACTAAAGCTAGGTACTGTATAACACCTCTATGACATAAGTATTTATGACAACATTTGAGAGATGATGTATCTGAGACTCAGAGAAGTAAAATAACTTACCCAGGACCACAGGGCAAGGATAATTGTGGGGTGGGGATTCAAATCCAATGTTCTGCTCTTCATCATAGAATTCTGCAATCAACAGGTGAGTGAGGAAGCAGAGCATCAATGCTTGAAAGTGTGGCACCAACTGGAACCACTCTCAGCTAGGTTGGGAATGCTGAATCAACCAGACTGGTCTGTATATCCTAAAATTATTATTTACAGAGATCAGAATAGATCCCAGAAACTGAAGCAGAACTTAGCTTTTAGATTAAGGATCAAATGATTGAAGCTGCAGAGAGAAGGGAGCCTATGGATGCAAGAAGCCAAGCAGGTCCTAAATCCATTGATGTTATCCTTTAAAAAAAGCCTTAGATGGGCCGGCTCGGTGGCGCACTGGAGAGTGCGCCGCTTCGGAGCGCGGTGGCGCTCCCACCGAGGGTTCGGATCCCATGTGGAGACCGGTTCCTGCTCACTGGCTGAGCGCGGTGCAGGCTCAACACCGAGGGTTGCGATCCCGTTACTGGTCAGTAAAAAAGACAAAAAGGAAAAAAAAAAGCCTTAGATGACAACATTGCTTAGCTTTGACATTTTACTTAAAGTGTATCTCTTCTTAATATATAAACCAATGTAAAGAGATCTTAAATCTTAAGAGTAATAATTTCAAGTGGTAAAGTAACATATGCCAGTAATACAGAGTTTGAATGAGCTTTGCTTGTTTCTACAGAAGTTCATAATCGATATGTTGCTGAGTATTAATAAATCCTGAGTATGTTCTTCATTTATTTTTTTTAACTCTTCATAAAGAAACATATGTTATTTTCTGAAACAGCTCTCCTTGAATTGACAATATGTCAAGACTATAACTGAGCTTTAATGTGATTACAAATGAGAGGCTCTAAGTGTCAGCTGGGAAATAAGAATGATAAAGTAGACATTCCACCAAGTAAGATTGAACAAATCATATCTTTGTGACCAACAGAGTGGAAAGTTGGGCTACCGTACAAAATTTACTAATTTGTATGCTCTTCCATCACAATCCCAAGGCTGGGAAAATGTTTTCCTTTGAGACAAATTAAAGATGTTTTGCTTATCTTTAATGTCATCTAATCAAGTACAATTGGAAAAGCCATAAAGACTTTTTAAATTGAAAATTTACTTGAACTTGGAGCAGATTAATAGCTTCATAGCCCTGGGATGCTATAAAATGAGTTAATGGAACATAGAAAAATCAATCGAGGAATTTAGTATATAGATGATTTGGAATTTGAAATCGATAATGATATCATGTGAAGGTTTGATAGCCACAAGCCACATGGAGATATGGATAAGAGCTTGTGATAACAATCACAGAGGAGTCAGATGCCTTGTCCCATGCTCCGCAGTGCAAATTAAGGACCCTAAAATCTGGACCCTAATCTCACCCTCTCACTTTCAGCAGATGATGTTACCTCTCACTACACCCAAAAAAGAAGAAGCCATTTCAGGCCTGAAATCTCCCTCTATTCTCCACCATCTTCTAAATCTTTGGTATATAGACACAATGGAATACTATTCAGCTATAAAAAGAAGTGATATCCTACCATTTGCAGCAACATGAATGGAACTGGAAACCATCATGTGAAATTAAGTCAGTCAGGAACAGAAAGAAAAATACCACATAATCTTACTCACATGCAGAATCTAAAAAATAAATAAATAAATAAAAAGTGGTTCTCATAGAAATAGAGTAGAATAATGGTTACCAGAGGCCAGGAGGGGAGGGGGGTGTGGGGGGAGAGAAAAGGGGTGGGCTAACAATACAAAACTACACTGCCTACCCTAAGTGAATCATTGTGCAAGATATGCATGTATTGAAACAACACACTGTACCTTACAAATATGTACAAGTGAATGTTAAAATATTTTTAAAAATAAAAATCAAATCAAAGAAACTTCATTATTCACCATTCTGAGTTAGCCTCCATATTTCAGAGGAAAAGGTGCTCCTGTTCCTTTCTTAGGCTGACTATGTCTCCTATGTCAGGATTCCATCTCTTTCTTCCTCCTGTGGGAATTGACGATTTCAAGTCCACACACCCCTCAGTTATGATCTCTCAGGTCCTCGGTGTCACCCTTTTTAACAATCTCTTTATTCACAGCCTGTAAACAAGCTGAAAATTCCTCTCATTATAAAACACCTTCACCCTACCTTCACATCCCCCTCAAGCTTTTTTCAAATCCCTCTGCTTTATTTTCTTTTCAAACTGCCTGAAAAAATGGTCTATATTTGTTGTCTTTGCCTCAACTTCCTCTTAACCCACTGCAATCTGACACCTGCCCACCCACCACCAACCTCCGCTAAAACTGTTCTTAGAGATGACCCAGAGGACCTCTACATTCCATCTTTATTCCAGTTATTACCAAATTTCTATATCCAGCTCAGATCTTTCTGAATCCCAGATTGATGTAGAAAGCGATTTTCTTAGGATATCTATTTTGATATTTCAAAGGCATCATAAACTTACTTTGCTCAAAACTTAACTCTCAATTTTTCCCTTCCCATTGAATTTCTTTTCCAGTCTCCTTAATCTCACTGTCCAACCAGAATCCTATGGTTCATTGTTGACATCTCTTTCTCTCACACACTCTTTCCATTCCGTATTGTCAAGTACCATTGTTCTTCCTGCAAATTATTTATCAAG